GCCACCTCGTCCCCGCCGGCCTGGGACAGCCAGCCAGTCTGCGGACCGGGAGCCGGAGATTGCTCAGCTCCAGAAGGCCCCGGCCGCCGCAGCGCTCCGTCTCCCATCTCCCTTGGCGGCCTGAGAGATCACCAAGTGTGTTTCCCTCCGTTTTACCGGGAAAACGAGGTCCGGAGAGAGATGAAGCAACTTTCCCTTGTGCTGCGGACCCTATTGCCCAACTCTGGAGACACCCTCCAGAAGTGTCGGGTCCTAGGCTGGAAAAGCCTTGTGTCAGGTTCGAACTGGGCAAAATAAGCGGTAAGGGTATCTGGAGTCCCAGCCCCATATGTCGCGGCCGGGACCTCACCTCGATGCAACACGTGGGCCCGGCCAGGCTCCATCCCACCTCTGTCCCTGGATTGCACTCTTCACGTAGAAGCAACAACTTCCTCGAGCCTGTCTAGAGTGTCCCAGCCCCTAAGTGTAATTGCAAGTTGAACGGAGAAAGTGTAGGTGGCAGGAACCAGAGGGGTCCCTGCTGCGCGCCCTTCGCTGCCGTTTCTGCGGCCGGACAGCCGGCCTCGCGGGCTTAGGGAGGACGTACCTGGTACAGCTCATAAGCCCCGAGGTGCGGAGGCGCCAGCCCGCGGCAGCATCCGCCCCGGGGTGGCAGGGGCAGCGGCGGCGACGGCAGGAGCGGGGGCCAGGGCTCAGGTTGGCGCTCTCCGCGGACAGCCGCATGCGTCCTTGTGCGAAAACAGCGCGCCCGCCTCCTACCTGCGGCCCTTCACCCTGGACTCGGGTTCCCAGCCGCTGCGCGGCTCCCTTTAACTTTCGGGCTACCTCTCCCCACTCGGGATGCCATCCCAGACCCCCTTTCACGTGAACGCCCCTCTCAGCCAATGGGCACGCCCGGGACGCTCGCCGTCTACCAATGGCCGTGGAGCCGCGGTCCCCCTAGAGCATCGCCGCGCCACGTGATCGACTGCGCGCCCGGAGTGATAGGGCTGGCGTCCAGGGGCTGAGAAGGGGGCTGTGGGTCACTGCTTCATCAAAAGCCCGGGACGGGCGCCAGGGGGCAGAGGCACTTTCCTACAGAAGAAGCATCCCGTTATAGCCAAGAGGGCTGGACGCAGGCAGCTGGCAGAGTTCCCTCTTACTAGGCAAAGCCCTAGCCGGGCAAAGTCACACTACACACGCGGACGGGGTGGCAGTTACATTTACCCGTCCCGCCGGACCCGCCTTCGTCTCACACTTCAGCCATGGGGTTCACAGATGACCATTACTTCTCCCCTACACGCGGATCCCTTAAGTGCCCCGAGGGAATGTCAAGTGTGTTTCCTTCTGTTTTAGGTGGAGTTTTTTCAGGATCGGTATCCCTACTCCAGAGATAGTGTTTCCACACTATCAGGTCATTAGTGAACGCTTGCTTTGTACCGGTCATGGTCCAGGTGTTACTGTGAAAGGAATACAGTAAAATCCTTTTTATAAAGTTGTTACTGGGGCAAAGGACTAATACCCATCTCACAGAGTACCTCGTATATAGTTGAGGGTTTCTCAAGTAGGTATATTTTCGAGGAAACTACCTGACTTGAATCTGTATTAATAGATTCAGCCTGTGCCTATGGGGCCTCCATGATCTTTGTGCTACAGCTTGAGGTCTGTAGAGAATGATGAACTTAGAAGAGACCAGAAGCCCCTCCACCCATATGAGATCAATTTAAATATGCATATATATAGTATATATTGGTGATCAGCTCTAAGCTAGCCATTTTAGGAATGAGGATCTCAATTTTCTAGTTTTAATGAATTTGGGGAATCGATATGGAGTTACCAGTTTTTTAAAGTCCCAAGACATTAAAAACGAATCTTCCATCTTCTGTTGCCATCCTTTTATTACAAGCAAGTACTCTTTAATAGCAATAAAAACAAAATGCAGGAAGGGCATAATCTCAGAGTAAAGGCTAGTCCTTCACATTGGATATATTTAGCTTTATGAAAATTCATTACCTTGAATATGGCATGTGAGAATTTCTGATTTAAGAGATGTAAGAGCAGCTTCTAATTTTACTAGGAATGTAAAACAAAATCTCTTGTCAATTACAATAATCCAGTCAAAGCCTTCAGCTCTATAGAGAACTTCCCCAGACTCATTCTTCCTGTCTGAAGGATGGTCATTAGTCTTCTTCCTTCTCTTTCAATGGACAAATCTGATAAAAGACCACCTGTGAAATCAGCTATTGGTAGGCAGTTGGCAACTAAAATTTCTGTTCAGTATTCCCTTTGCCAACTCTAAACCCCCTTTTATTAGTTAATGAGTAGGTTGAAGATTTATGAAGCCAAGTGCTGGCTACATTTCTCAAGTAGATGGAGCATGCTAGAGGAGTGGGCAGAGATAAGGAGCCAACAGGTATTGTGAAATGTATTCAGGCAAAGGGTGATCTGAACCAAACTGGGAAGGAGTTGGGCCAAGTAAATACAACTTTATAGCATTAGGGTTTGAAAGCATCTTCCTTACATAGATCTAGGAAACCATGGGTAATAATTTCCCCTGTGGTTTAAGTGACTATTTCAGACTAGGAGAGTGGGGCTAAACTTAGTTGTGGCACACCACAGTCCTGGTAGGTAGGAGTATGGCGTCTCTGAGTTTGAAAAGAGCAGTCTTCTTTGCGATCAGAATAGAGCTGGCATGCAAGCTCTGGAGGACTGTTCCAGCAGAATTCATAGCAGTCCTGAGCCCTTGAACCTGAGAGCTAGTCTGGTCTTTAGACATGATCTTGCTTTACCCTCTCATTTTATCACAACAAAGAGGTAAACGGAAAATGGAAAATTTCAACCCTTTAGTCAATGCATACCAAGTTCCTTTTCTAATATCTGGCAGTGAATTTTAGCATTAATTTCATTTAATAAGCTAACTCTCCTCCCTTAAATCAAGAAGCCAACAATGGCTAAGCATAGTTAATGATCATTTTCCCTGAAACTGTCTTTTTCTGTGGCTGTTAGTGGTAGCACTGTCTTTTTTCTTCCTTGCACTTGGGCTCATCTGTGACTTTTTCAGTCCTTTCTTAGACATTTGTTCATTCATTCAACAGCAAACTATGGTAAACCTGGGTGCTGGAAATGGAAAAATGAATGAAATACAGTCTTACTCTTGAGAAGCTCTTAAGCCAGTAAATAACGATGTGGGATAAATGTGTGAAAGGCAAATCCCTGGGGCACTAAGAAGACTGCACATGTGTGGCAGTGAGGTGGGGGTGGGGCATGGGGAAGGTCAGAGAACGCTGACCTTTAAGAATTGACCATTAAGCAGGATCCAGAAGGGGGCATTATAGTGTAGGGGTAATGGGAGAGAACATGGCAGGGATTGGCAACCTCACTGAGTTCTATATGTTCCTCCAGTTTCCACTTTGCTGATTAAAAATTAGACCCTCATTTTGGCTTAAATATTGGACAGTATTTCTTTTTGCATGTGTTAATGTCAGCTTTTTTTACTAATCCAGAAAAAATTTAAAAATATCAAAAGATGTTTTATTTCCTCAACTTAATACATTTCAAAAACTACTCAAATCATGTAAAATTTTGGAAAAGAAATCTTTTTCTTTTTTTTTCTTCTTAGATTCTAACATAGCTTCTCTTTGAACAAAAGTGATTGCAAAGTAAATCTAAATAAAAATAACCAGCATCAAGAGTCAGAACTAAAGAAGAGAACATTCTTTTGCTTGATCAGAATAGAAAGTGGGAAAGGCTGTTTCCAAACTGCCTAAGTCCATTTATATTTAGACGAGTGGAGTTGTTTGCACCTGTCAGAGCTACAGACATGCTCTGGGTGCATCATGTTACCTGGGGCCCTCTTCCCCTCTTTCAGACTTGACTGAAAGGAACTTGCTAGATCATGTTTTATGGGACAGGCAGATGAATACCAGCAAAGGGATTCTGTAAGCCTCTGTCTATGCAGAATGCAAGGGAGAAGATCTTGAGTAATTTATATGTCAAAGCTCCTAGAGCCCATCAATAATTTACGTGGTTGAGGGCTTTTGAGTTTTTGTATGATGCTGATGTAGGGACCAGTCTTAAAATCTGCATATACAACACAGCTTTTTTGTCTTGTGTAGTGCTTTGTATGCTCCATATATATCTTTAATTTTGTACTTTGTATTATTTTTATGATTATGAAATTAATACAAGATCACTGTGGACATTTTGGGAAATACAGAAGAATATAGAGCTGAAAACAGAATCAGCACCACCCAGCAATAACTACCAATGTAATTTACTTTGTTAATTTATTTCATTATTTATCCTATGTGCCATTATATTATCAGGATCATATATGTAAAGTTTAATATCTTAATTATTTTTACTCATGACTGCTCCTCATTTTGAATATATTAGTATTATTATAATTTTTCTGTTGTGCTTTTTAATGACTGCATATTCCTTCATATAAAGGGCCCATACTTAAGAATCTTCATATTTAAACTTTTGCCTGCATCCTTGATTCTTTTTTTTTTCCTGATTATTTTTATAAGCCTTTGTCCCACGGTATACAGACATTCTTCAGACTCTTGATTCGTATTGCCAAATCATTTTTTAAAAGATCAGTATTGACTTTTCACTCCCACTACTGGGGAAATTTAAGAGTTAAATAATCCTAATAAGGTATTGGTTTGTGGACTTTGGGCAAATTATACCTCATCTTACAAAAAAGCCATATGAGAATTTTTACTGATGAATCATATACTCTGTGCCTGGGTGAAAATAGCTACACACTCATCTTTTGCTTTAGCTCTAAGTCTCAAAGTACAGCCAATTTGTGTTATGAATGGGAACTTCACAACCCATATTATTGACTTAAATGATATTAAGTGGTGGCTGGTCAGAGAGAAAAGGAAAGGCTGGGAACCAGGGAATACCACTTTGCCACAGGCTTGAAAGAAATTAGGCAGAACCCAATATGTATTTATATTCTTTGCTCATTCATCCCCCATTCGTAACTGGTGTGATCATAAATTATATTTGAACATGTAACTATATACATGTGATGCAACGTATAACATCCAGAATTTCATGACAAGTGGCACGCATTTTTGTGAGAATGACATGTCAAGCTGCTTTGAGGATTGTGATAGACCACTTGACTCTTGTGTGCCTTGGAACTTTGGGCTGGGCTGTTTCTGCTGCGTGCCTGTGGGGTCAAATGCCTGGGATACTGCAAGCACTTTGTGTTAGCAATTGTATTTCAGTTCCATCCAGATATTTACAAAACTGCCTACATCGTCCTCTTAGAAACAGGTAATAAGATAACTTGTATTAAGAAAACAATGACTCATTTGAGAGATGAGGAAAAAACTGTTTACGTACAATAATTTCTAAATATACACACTATATTTTCCTGCAGCTTAAACTTTCTATCACTTCTCTTTTTCTTTGAAATTTTGAGTCAGAAGCTGAACTGACTTCATGGTTTTCCTTATGATCATTTGATATCCTCTAGAGAATTACAACTTAAAGACTGCATTCTTCCTTCTCGAAACTCATGGTAACAAACTGTTTCTCCACACAGAGCCATGGGCTATGTTGGAGCTGGAAATGGAGCAATTAAATCTAGGAAGTCACCACGTGTTGAGAATATTCCTTCTTTGCCTCTCTTTTTGCTTATGTTCCCAAGGAGGCACAGATCTCAGAGGGCAGTGGGGGAGCCATCGTCTAACATCATTATTTCACCTACTGCATAAAAAAATGCAGAGGACAATAGTGCATTTGTTATAAAGGCTACTCAAGTTTGTTATAAAATTACACTTCACCAAAAACAACCGCCCAATAACTATTAGTATGAGTCTTAACTTGGTAAGGAGCCAGGACTGTAAAATATACAAAACCATACTT